ATGTACCTTTGGAATCCACTAGTACCGAGTCAAACTGGTAATGTCAGACAGGTATTTTGCTAAAAGGTGATGCTATCGTTGGAAGGGAAACTATGTTGGGTGAGGTGTGGGGGTACATGGTTTCAGCAAAAGTATGAGGTTCGGCTATCCTCGCAGGAGAAGGGGCAGTTACGGAGAATGATCCGGTCGGGCAGGAGTTCGGCCCAGGCGATCACCCGGGCCCGCATTCTGCTCAAGACAGACGAGGGCTGGTCCGCTGCCCAGTAGCCGCCGCTCTGGACGTCTCGGAGCGCACGGTGTTCCGCGCCAAGCGGCGGTACGCCGAGGAGGGATTGGACGAGGTGCTGCGGCGCCGCAACCAGGTCAACCGTTACCGGAAGCTGGATGACCGGGGCGAGGCGCACCTGATAGCCTTGGCCTGCACCCCGGCTCCCGAGGGCCACGACCACTGGACTTTGCGCGCCCTGGCAGGGCAAGACGGTTGAACTGGGTCTGGTGGAGTCTTTGTCCCACGAGACGGTGCGGCTGCGGCTGAAAAAAGGCTCTCAAGCCGTGGCGCAGGAAGCAGTGGTGCATCCCGAAGGTAAGCGCCGACTTCGTGGCCCACATGGAGGACGTGCTGGAGCTATACGCCGAGCCCTACGACCCTCAGAGACCGGTGGTCTGTTTCGATGAGACCTCCACCCAGTTGCTGGCCGACGTACGTCCATCCATTCCGCCAGCCCCGGGACGTCCCAAGCGGGAGGACTACGAGTACCAGAGGGGCGGAACCCGTAATCTGTTTCTCACCTGCGAGCCCCTGAGGGGCTGGCGCCATGTGCAGGTAACCCGGCAGCGCACCATGCAGGACTTTGCCCATCAGATGCGCTGGCTGGTGGATGAGGCCTATCCCGATGTTCCTGTGATCCGAGTTGTCCTGGACAACTTGAACACCCACAGAATGGCATCCTTGTATGAGAGCTTCCCGCCGGCAGAGGCCAGGCGGATTGCCAAACGGCTGGAGTTCCATCACACGCCCAAGCACGGGAGTTGGCTGAATATGGCGGAGATCGAGTTCAGCGTGCTGGCCCGGGCCTGCCTCAAAGGTCGAAACCCCCACGAGGAGGCGCTGCAGAGGAACATCAGCGTCTACGAGGGGGAGCGCAACGCGGCAGCAGCTACCATCAACTGGCGTTTCACCGCCAAAGACGCCAGAGCCAAACTCCGCCGTCTATATCCTGACACTTCAGCTTTGACTTAGTACTAGGGCCGAAACCGTCATTTCGTTTGGAACAACCTCGGAAATTCCATTGCCGTACAACTCCGTCTAATTTTGGCGCCAATGCGAGGAGTACACTGTTACGATTCCTGCTTGAATAAACCGCTAACTATTTTATTATTGTTACGTCTTTTGCTATATTAGCGGAATTATCGTATCAAAACGAAATATTGTATTGCGAAAAAGGGAAAGTAGAAGGGACATCGAGACCATTGACGAGTGCGAGTTGCCCAACAAGATTATCCGCGACCGGATGATCGGGATTCACCACCCGGCTTGGTGGCGCGGCGAAGACTAAATCCGGGCAGCCCTTGAGCCGGCGTTGTCGATGACGCGCCGAGAGCCTGATCGCCCTGAAGACACGCACGGACACGTCGAGCAAAGAGTTCGAAGTTCTCGACAGCGGGCCCCACCACACGGGAGGCGGTGAGCTAGGCATGGCTTTATGCAGCGATTTCCTGTACCTCCGAAAAAACGTCTGGGCTCCCGCTACCCTCTTCATCAGCACACATGTCCAGCGTGTGGGAATCCATCGAGACCCTAGCCGGGGCAGACGTGGAGCGGCCGAACACCGCCCGCATGATGGTAGGGAACGCCGGGGAGCAGATCGGCCTGAGTCAATTCGCCCTTAGTGAAAGGGTAGGCTCTCCCGCTGAGCACCAACGCGCTCTGAAACCCCGCCTGTCATGGTAAGGCAATCGGACAGGCCGGCCCTTCTTTACTGGAACCGGCCAAGGTTATTTGCCGGAGACGTTGCAAAGGGAAAGGAGGACAATATGTCCAACGAGTCCGGCCATACGGAAAAACTGGGAATCGACGACTGTACTGTGCCGGAGACCAGTGTCAGCGTCTATGAGGCTCTTTACCGCAGGCGCATGGCGTGGGACTTCCGCAATCAGCCGGTCCCCAGGGATGCGCTGGACCGTATGCTGGCCACTGCCGTCTGGGCGCCGAACCATCGGCTGACCGAGCCTTGGCGGTTCTTTATCATAGAAAAGGGGAGCGCAGCGTCGGAAAAGGTTGCCGGGCTGGCTTATGATTTCGCGCTGCAGCGCAGCGGCGGCGAACAGCGGGCAGCGGCAACCCGAGACTCACTGCTCAAGACGCCGGTGCTCATCTACGCATATTCCACCCCGGGACGTGACGAGGAAGGCACGAAGGAGAATTACGCCTCGGTGTGCTGTGCTGCCCACAACATGGCCCTGGCCGGTGTGGCCGAGGGCTTGGCCGTGACCTGGGAGACGGGCGGCCCCACCCGCCATCCCGACCTCGCCGAAGCTCTGGGCGCCGAGGCCGACTGGACCCTCACCACCATGCTGTCCGTCGGCTACCCGGCCGAAAACCCCCGATCGGAACGTACCCCGGTAGCCAACTTCGTTCGCTGGCTGGACTAGCCGGGCCTTCCCCAACTTTTTATCCGTCGACTATCTGTACCTCGCGGCAATAGTTTCTCCGCGCGGATACTGGCGTTTCACTGGCGCAACATTCAACACTGACAGGAGGAGTCATGCCCATCATCAGGACGAGTGACCGGAACAGGAACGAGTCGATCTCGGAGGGGCTGGAATCCTTCAGCATCGTGGACGCCGCCCTGGGGAGCGATGCGCTGAGGGTGGGAGAGCTGACCATTGCCCCCATGACCCGTGTTCCCCGGCACGCCCACACCAACACGGAAGAGGCGATGGTGCTGTTGGAAGGAACCCTTGAGGCGCAGGTTGGCTCGCAGCGAATGGCCATAGAGGCGGGCGACCTGGTGCTTGCTCCGGCAGGGTCGGTACACGGATTCCTCAACCGCACGGACACGCCGGCCCGGCTGTTGTACGTGTTCCCGAGGCACGACCCCGACCGCGTCTGGTCCACCCCGCCCGACGCTCCGCCGTCGGGATTCCCGTCGGAACAGGGGCTTTCAGGATTCAGCTCACCCCACGACCGCCCACTGGAGAATGAGTCCTGAAGGCTTGACGGGTGGAATGCTATTCGGTACTGTGAGACAAGTTGCTAAATACTACAAAGCTGAAGGAGAGTCATGGCGGATTTCGACAAAATTATTCGTAACGGTACGATTGTCGATGGCACAGGCGGGACCCCGGCATTCCGAGGCGACATTGCCATAAAGAACGGCAAGATCGCCATGATCAGCGGTAACATCAAGGGCTCGGCCACAGAGGAGCTGGACGCCACTGGCTGCATCGTCGCTCCCGGGGCCATTGACCTGCACACCCACTATGACCTGCAGCTCAACTGGGAACCCTATGCCACCATGTCCGGCTGGCACGGCGTCACGTCGGTGACCATCGGCCAGTGCGGCTTCGGCTTCGCTCCGTGCAAGCCCGAGGACCGCGACGCGGCGATGCGCCTCATGACGAGGATTGAGGCAATCCCCCTGCGGACGATGGAACTGGGCCTCCGCTGGGACTGGGAGACATTCCCACAGTGGATGGACAGCCTGGACAGCCATCCTCTCGGGGTCAACGTGGGGGCGCTGGTGCCGTTCAACACCCTGCGGATGTACGTAATGGGACTGGAGGAATCCCGCACGGTGGTACGAGCTTCCGACGAGCAGATCCAGCACATGGAGGAGCTCCAGCGCGAGGCCATGCGCGCCGGCGCCTTCGGCTGGTCGGCCATGAAGACCTTGGCCAACCGGCCCGACGACGGGCGATTCATTCCGAGCCAGGTCGCCCACAATGACGAGTTCCTGGCGCTGGCCAGGGTGCTGAACGAGTTCGGCGTCGGGCACATTGGCTGGACCCGCGGACCCGCCGAGCGTCCGCTGCCCCCCGGCGAGCCGGACCTCATCGGCGGCGGAGACCCCGGTGCGGTTGTGGCCGCCGTAACCGGCCAGTCGGCCATCCTGATGGACGCGGTGGAGGGGGACGCCCCGGGCCGCGGCCGCGAGGACTTCCTCATCGAGATGTGCCTGGCTTCGGGCCGTCCCATCCAGTGGGGCGCGGTATCCTTCAACGAGAACGCTCCCGGCCGCTACAGGGAGCAGCTGGCCTTCCTGGAAAGGGCTCGACAAGAGGGTGCGCCGATGTTCGCCCAGACGACATCCTATTCGCCGTCGCCGGTGTTCGAGCTGGCCGAATACAACGGCTTCGACGCCATGCCCAACTGGATTGACCCGTTCGTTGGCACCCCCGAGGAGCGGATCGCCAAGCTGAACATCCCGGAGAACCGGGACAAGATGCGCCAGGACGTTGGCGCCTACGCCGGCCAGGGCGGCGCGGCCGACGCGGCCTCCGAGTGGACCAAGATGCGGGTGGTCGAGGTCAGGGAGGACCGCAACCTGAAGTACGAGGGCAAGAACATCGCCGAGCTGGCCGAGATGATGGGCACACATCCCATGGACGCCATGCTCGACCTCGCCATCGACGAGGGGTTACGCACCGAGTTCACGTTCGACTCGGCCCAAGGCACCGACAAGAAGGCAGTGTCCGAAATCCTGAACCACCCCTACACCCACCCGTGCGTCTCGGACGGCGGCGCCCACACCAGGTACCAGACCCTCGGCACCTGGCCGGTCAACATGATCGCGGACCGGGTCAGGGACCAGGGCATGATGAGCCTGGAGAAGGCCCACTACAAGATGAGCAGCCTCCCGGCCTCGATCGCCGGCTTCACCGATCGCGGCATCCTCAAGGAGGGCTTCGCGGCCGACATCATGGTCTACGACCTGGACAAGCTGGGCCTCCAGTTCGACAGCCCGGTCTACGACACAGACTTTCCCCGGTGGCGAGCGGCGCATCATCCAGAAGGCCAACGGAATCCGCTTCACCATCGTCAACGGCGAAGTCACCTTCACCGAGGGCACTGTGTGCACCGGAGCGACCCCTGGGAAGCTGCTGCGCAGCTATGACATGGTAAACCGCTAACCCTCCGAGGGTTCGGACTGTTTCCGGGTTGCTTGATGTGCGCCCAATCGAAGGACCCCCCTTTGGGGGTCCTTCGCCGTTACCTGCCGGACAGTCCGGGTGGAAACATTGGGAGGAATTCGATGAATTCAGCTATTCAAGGAAGTAACGGTAAGCCAGTTCGGAAATGGTCTGTACTGCTTTTTCAACCCACCGGCAAAGGATTCAACAGCGCTGGGCAGAAGACCTGAGTTTCCGATATCTAGAATCTCATGAATCTGATGCTCCAGCTTTGCCGGAGCCAACATAACAACTACGGGATTACGTTGACGATTCACAGACCGTTGCCGGTATCGCCGGTCTTACAAGGTCTCCACTCCCTGACGCCGGGAAGATCAAACCCGGCCGTGTGCTCAAGGATCAACGCCGCCTTGTCGTCCCTTTCGTGTTCCAGAAGCCGCACCCACCGCACTGCCACTGCGTTCCGGGAGGTTAGGGCCTCATGCCTTCATTCGCACTGCGAGCACAGCTTCGATGACGGAAACCAAGGTCTGCTCTGAGAAGCTCCACTCCGTACCAGAGGCACTTGCACGTCAACTTCTACAGAAAGCCGGGCATCCCGGCATGAGCAAGGGCCCGCGCCAGCCCTACGGTCCTCCTCATCCCCGATACATTCAGGTCCTCCACCACCACCCGGCCCGCCAGCTTGGCTATCGCCGTCGTGGCCTTGTGATGATGGCCATTCCTGATGTTCACAACCCGGGCATGAAGTCTGCGCCTCACGGTATACAACCGCTCCCGGCGCTTACTGGGTTCTCTTATACCATGGAAGTTCCTGGAACTGGCAATGGCCCTGTCCACCCGACGCAGTCGTGCCAAGGCAGGCCGCAACGCCCTTGGGTCCCCAGTTCACACTTCCGACGTGAGCGTTACTCGGGGCGGACCAACGCCCACAGTCGCCCTTCCTCAATATCCACGTGGACAGCCCTCAGGCGGACATAAGGCTGGTTTACACACACACCTTCATCCTTGTCAAACTGCCATCCGTGGCCGTCGCAGGTGAACACTTCCTCACCTTCGTCCTGTATCTCACCACCTTGATGTGGGCAAATGACGGATAGCAATTTGTAGCCATCACTGCCCTTGGCCAGGAAGAATTTGGCATCACCCACCACGACCGGAAAGGGAAGACTTGGGAGTGACGACTCTTCACCCAAGTCCACCTTGATTCTCCTCGGGCGCCCAAGGGCGTTGAGTGGTCGGGAAGACATGGCTGCTCCTGCCCGCATTTGGTGGGAATGAAGGAGTTGACTGCTGCGAGCATAGCAAAAGCCTCCGGCTCCATCAATGAGCCAATACACTGCTTCGGCCTCGTACACGATGAATCATGCCGCCCGCGGCAGCAAAATCTGAGAATCATCCGATCTACCAAGGTATGCGTTCCGTTCATCACCGCATCGGCGTTGCTTCTGGAGCACCAGACGTTCCATTTCGACGCGGGACAACACGTCCACGGGGGGCGGATGTCCCGCGTCAACTATTTTTGCCGGCAAGACTAATTGTCGTTGATCACCAGGAAGCAGGCAAAGGGGCTGACCAGCGAGGCTCTGTCCGAGGATACGTACACGTTTATGGCGTGCACTCTGTGGGCGTCTATCCCCGAGCTGAGCAGCACGAACACGGCCCCGGCAAAGGGGGAAACAAGCTGGCCATCCCTCGAGCTTCTCTGAACTTTCCTGAATTCTCCCGGGAGCTACGGACCAGCGTGGGTGAACTAGATAACCCTGTCTCCCCGCCTTGGCGTGGACTCGCTGTCCGGCTCACCTGCCGCCCCGGGCAGCGGGGTCAACATCACGCGCCAATGGGGAGTTTCCTTGGACGCCTCGACCAAGAGTTCCCCCAGCGGGACATCGATGTCAATATCGTCGAATTCGAAGTTGAAGGCGGCCCTCACATCGGCGGGGCAGACGATGCCCGCCGTGGCGTTGTTCTCCCGTCCCACCCGCCTCAGTTCATCGCGTTCGGCGAGGGTCATCTTGATCCGGCGGTGGCAGCCGGGAATGGCGCATTTGAGCGAGACTTTTCTGGGCATTCCCCCAATATTACAACGACTGCTCAGGGAGGGGGTTTCGGGCATGCGTGCAGGGTGAAGGACTGACGTGGCGTCACGGCCGAGGGACTGGGCTACGCCGCATCTGATGCACCTGCATCGGAACGGAGCAAGAAGATAGAATCAGTCTTGGTTGGGGTGGGAAATAAGAGCTGGAATTTCGGTGACCTTCTCTGGTGAGGCAACAGGACCGGCAAGACTTATTGTCGTTGATCAGTACGATTATCGCGCCTGTGAAGGCAAGGCCCGTGGGTAGTTTCTGGGCCTCCTTGGAGTTCTCAGGGCAAAGGCCAGACCAGCTTGTCCGTCAGGGATCTGAGGGATCTGCTGGGGGGATCAGCGTACAATTGTACGCACAGGGTTACTGGAACAGCCTGTGTTGAGTGGAGGAAGAGGAGGGTCTGGGCCGCTCCGGCCGGGGGAGCCTCTTTCGGCGTCCGCCGGAGAAGGGGTTGAGGGCCCGGCCATGATGTCCGCGGCGCACGAACTGCAGTAAGCGCCGGCGTCAGCGGCATGATCGCAGGACCTGCATTTTGCGTTCGCAATGACCGAAGCCCTCGTTGGAGGAGTGAGGAGTTTTCGATACCCTTTCCGTCCTTCTCCCCACAAGGCCTGACTGTCAGTAATTCCACGTACAACGCCGGTTCGCACAACCGATGATATGACGAACGTGATCCCCGTCACCTACGGCTACGCGCGGGTCAGCAAGAGCGACCGGGACGACCGGAATCTCGAGACCCAGCTCCGCGAGTTGGCCAACCACGGCATCCGCGAGGAGCTCATCTTTTCCGACGTGATGACCGGCCGTTTGATGTCGCGGCCCGGATGGAACGATCTCATGGCCCGGATCCGGCCGAACGACACCATCGTGGTGGTATGGCTGGACCGCTTCAGCCGCAACTTCGACGAGGGTGTGAGGATCCAGGCGGACCTCACCAGCCGGAACATCGGCATAGTGGCCATCAAGGAAGGGATCGACACCACCGACGA